TTCTGTCCAGGGGGCCCCCCCATATCAATGTTTCTCAACGAAATCTACATATTTACACTTACTTGGCATATCGCAACGGACCCAACAATACCAATTTTTAAAAAATAGCTCCGTGTTGAAAATTTTTCACCATTAGCATAAAAATCCCTTTTAAATACTGCTTCTTTATGCACCACAGCTACCCCCCTCCCTTCAATAAATGCCTAGGCCAGCAACTAGTCCATTGTTTCCTCCCTGAGCCTATTTAGGCTTTTTCATTAAATTTCTATAATTACAATATTCCAAAAAGCCTATTTCCTATACATGTACATCAATATTCAAGACAAAAAGTACTGGAATAATTGCATACAAAGCTTGATATGTCAAATCATGAAGATAAAGTGTGTGACACAAAGACATCATAAGACTTAGTACATTTTTGGCAAAGGAGGTTTATTTAATGTTTATAAATTGACTGATAAAATGATACCTGCACAGCCACACTCATTATGTATTTTGCTATTTCATTGCTTGATATATTGCAAACAGTGTGTACAAAATTGCATTAAAGTTCATGGTACCTTCTGTGCAAGGATATGATACTTGAACTAATGAAAACTGCTGCCGCTTATATTTAGTCATAGAAGATAACACAGGCCTTCAGAAAGGTTTGCCTTCAGAAAGGTTTGCCTTCAGAAAGGTTAATGTACAATTCAAGGTTAATTATCAAAGTATACAAGAATACCTTTTATACAAATTACACATCATTTGTGGTATGCTAGGTAAACAGTACATGTGTATTGTATATACAATATACCATCAACATTACCAGAAAGTGGTCAGGTCATTTTACCTAAAAATCAGCTGACATGCCTACATATGTCAAATGTGTTATCTTATCAACACTTTTTTTAAAACTAAATAATAGCCTTCTTTCCAGTTGGGCAAGATAGCTGACTAGTTACAGTGGTGCCTGCTATCCTCTGTTCTCACTGCCCTGAGAGCAAGTCTTGTGCAGAAATCTTGTTGAAGCAAGCTTAAGTGCTTGATGACTTTGACTGTTCTTTTCTCATAGCTCTGCTTTCTTATTTGGCACACAGCTTCATTTTCAATGCTTTCCTCAAAGGCGAAGTCCTCCCGGTACTCCTCCATGGCCCTGGAGAAAAATAGAATGTACATGTCTATTTACAGTTGCTAAGAATTAGCAACAAAATTCACAACAAGTGTGAAGAATTAGCAAACTAGTATACTAGTATTCTAATTTTTACATAATTGAAGGCATTTGATAATCAAGAAAACTTGAGTATACTAGTATTCTAATTTTTAGATAATGAATCATTATACAAAATAAGTGATTTACCACTAGAATGACAGTTTGCTACCAGGCTACATGTATAACTTATAGATTATTTGCCAAACCTGTTTATGTAACAGTAATTACAGCTACCAGCACTGTACCTGTATGTCTGCCCTCCCCCTTCGCCCTTCACATGACAGGCAGAATGTTATTCAAAGTGCATATTGTGAAAATTTCATATTCGAAATATTCGGGCCAATTGGAATCTAATCTGAATGTGATCAGAGCTGTTTCAATGCTGTTGGAATGCAGTACAGGTAAGAATCTCAATGCCACCTGTTTGAGAACTGTTTGTGTTTCTGGATATTTTTACATTTATGCTTATTCTTACATGTATGCCCAGCCTGACTGAGTGGAGACTGGATACAAGGCTATATTGAACAGTGAATTTTAACTGTAGCAGTATTAATCCATTTGAAATATCAGTGCCTTACCTGGTACCGAGATAGAAGGGCAGTACAAATATTTCCTGTTCGGTGCACAATTCACCTGCATCAAACTACAAACTGGTAATACTAGTAGTTTTATATAAAAGTGTAGGCATATGTGGGTTTTTACTTGCTGCATTGACTTTCACATTGTATTACTATTAAGTTCAAAAGAAATCCTGGCAATGATTTCCAGTTTTCTGTGTAATCTATATAATTCCTATGTTCTGGGTGACAGTGAGTGGTACAGGTAAAATGTGTCTGGTGCAGGTGATTTTCAAAGTTAATGTAACTTACTGGGGCAAAGAAAACTACTAGAAGCCCAGCTTAAGTTCCTTGTACATCAGCATGTGAAGCGGTTCCATTGGGACTCCTTCTGGTTCCCCAGTATTGCATGCTGCGACTCTCAATCCTACCAGCTGCCATTTCCTCTGCTTCGGCGTACTACAATACAATACAAAAATTGACAGAAACGAATATACATATGTCATATGTCAAATATACGTACATATCGCATGGTAAATACATGTAGGTACGTATCAATTTACACATCATGACATTTCAGTAACTCCAAAACTACCTTTATCAGGGTCAGTTACTGATACATCAGCCTGGTAAGTGCCATGCATATAATAAGGTTGTAGATCTTTTTTAAAACATTCACAATGCTTTTTCTTGCTTTGATTGATGAACTCTTGAATACACAGTGAATTGTGTTTCAATGTATTAGTATATTACAGTAAAAAATAAAAACTTGCTTTCCCTTTTTGTAGGCTAATAGTATAACTTTGGATAACACCTCGACACAGTACCAATTTGATGAGGATAGTTATGGAAGTAAAATATGCCTGATGTCGGATGATAATGAGTGGTGAGAAATGACTTTATCCTTTCCCTTTAATTAATAACTAGGGAGTGACAACTCTGTTTAGCATAAACAGGATGAGGGTCAAAGAAACATGAAATAAAATGCAACTCATGAATCTGTTTTATGACAAAATACATGTACAAATATATCATCCATAATGCCAAGAAGGTTGAAAATTTGAATTAAAAAAAACATTAAATGTTCTATTTTCTATTTAGATACATGTGTATAGGGAAATAGTAACCCGTAATCAAACTAATGCTGTCTTAGTGACATGTATGGTCAATGATGTAATGTCCTTCATAATATGATACCAAGCTCATTGATGATACTACATCTAGTCAAGTTACAGTGTAACGTATATATTATACATGTAGTTTGATGCTGCCCAATACTCTCCAAGCAGAGGTTTGGGTTTTGGGGGTATTTTTAGCATGTTTTCAAACTTTGGTGGGAAAAAAAATTCAGTGCAAAAGAGAAACCCCGATAAAAAAGCATAAAAACACGCTAAAAATACCCCCAAAACCCAAACCTCTGCTTGGAGAGTAGCTGCCCAACCCCATTCTGGAATGGAATCACCCGGGCGCGCGTACATTTGAATGTCGCCCCCCACCCCCAACACAGCATACAGACACACACCTACGTATACGTATATATATATACCATTACCAAATCAAATGTATTACATAGGCAGTTGATATTTGACTACTAAAATCTTCTTTTGGCTGCTAGCCACATATCCAAACATATTCACTGGCTATTTGCGAAGAATTGAGAGAAAACAGCCCAGTCGTGCCTCAACGCAACGCGGATTTAGCACTTAACAACAAGGACTGAGAGTCCAGTGAGCTAGTGACTAACCTGCAGAATATGTAGTAGCCTATAAATGGTCCAGGAATTGGTCCAGGTCAGAGTAGAGATGAAGAGAAAATATAAATCGCCAGGCCGTCCCGTCTGTCGTCCATTTCAGCGGAGCCGGCAACCGCAAGTCTAGTCTCGCATTATCTCGCGACGGATTTTACAACTCTCGCGAGGACTACACCCGACCGTTTATTTTCTATAGTAAAGCAGTGAGGTTACTAATAACGGTCACATCCTAGGAGGTGAAGAGAGCCTCTTAGCTTATTAGTTACTATATAACGGTGGTCACCGTTAGTAAGTAGTTACTATATATGGTATGTGTATCGGCTGTCCACTCCCTATCCGTCTAAAACTGCACTCCAGGCTGACAACATCAATGTTAATAGTTATGTCATCCACGTATGATTGGACACAGCTCCATATATGCACATGTTAATAATATCACAACTAAGGCGAAACAGACATTGGGAGTGATTAAACGTAATCTGTGGGCATGTCCAACGAGAGTAAAATCACTTGCATACACGTCACTTGTAAGACCGAACCTAGAATACGCTGCGACAGTATGGGATCCATATACAAAGAAAGACAAAGACAAATTGGAAAGGGTACAGAATCAAGCTGCAAGATTCTGTATGAACAACTATGTAAGAGGTGCTAGTGTCACGGAAATGAAAAGAAACCTACAGTGGACCTCACTTGAAGACAGAAGAAAGATGTCTAG